CGTACTAAAACAATGTAAGTATATCGGTTGTCGTACAATTAGGTACTAAAACAATGTAAGTATATCGGTTGTCGTACAATTACGTACTAAAACAATGTAAGTATAACGTCAAGTTCTTGGATTACTTTTAAAATCAAAGAAAGACGTCAAGTTCTTGGATTAGTTTTAGAATCAAAGAAAGACGTACATTTTTTTGTTTGTAAAACTAAAATTGTGTAGTAACTTTCCAGATTTTGAGCTTGTGCCAATAGATGAGAACGAAACAAAATCATTTATTGTGTTGTTAGGACTAGCTTTTGGAAATTAGTCCAGGAAGAAAGTACGATTATTTCATGCTCAGAAAGTGTGTAAAATATGTTGGATTGAGTTTAATATGTTTATTTTGTTTCTTTCAGAATTGGGATCCAGATGTAAGGTACGTCAGTTGAGATTTCTCACTCTGTGTTTACCACAAGCCTTTGTCTTCAATGAACTTGTAAAGTTCACTGTTTTCAGATAAAAACTAAGGAATCTTATCACTACTTGTTCCTTCAGTTTCATTCTTCAACCATATAATACTTTACTTGAATCTGTACACAAAATTGTCAGGAAAGTGGAGGTTCCATTAATGTTTATGTTCAATATTATACTGGATGTTGAACTTTTTTGGTGCTTAGTTAAACTGGATATTGGACATTTTGGTGTTTAGTTAAACTGGATGTTGGATGTTTTGGAGTTTAGTTAAATTGGATATTGGACATTTTAGTGTTTAGTTAAATTGGATATTGGACATTTTGGTGTTTAGTTAAACTGGATATTGGATGTTTTGGAGTTTAGTTAAACTGGATATTGGACATTTTAGTGTTTAGCTAAACTGGATATTGGACATTTTAGTGTTTAGTTAAACTGGATATTGGACATTTTAGTGTTTAGTTAAATTGGATATTGGACATTTTAGTGTTTAGTTAAACTGGATATTGGACATTTTAGTGTTTAGTTAAACTGGATATTGGACATTTTAGTGTTTAGTTAAACTGGATATTGGACATTTTAGTGTTTAGTTAAACTGGATATTGGACATTTTAGTGTTTAGTTAAACTGGATATTGGACATTTTAGTGTTTAGTTAAATTGGATATTGGACATTTTAGTGTTTAGTTAAACTGGATATTGGACATTTTAGTGTTTATTAAATTGGATATTGGACATTTTAGTGTTTAGTTAAATTGGATATTGGACATTTTAGTGTTTATTTAAACTAGATATTGGACATTTTAGTGTTTAGTTAAACTGGATATTGGACATTTTGGTGTTTAGTTAACTTGGATATTGGACATTTTAGTGTTTAGTTAAATTGGATATTGGACATTTTAGTGTTTAGTTAAACTGTTAACCAGAAATAGTAGTAGATACAGTTTATTTACTGTTAACCAGGAGGAGTTTACTTGTAGCTGGTAGTAGATACAACTTATTTACTGTTAACCAGAAGCAGTTTACTTGTAGCCGGTAGTAGATACAACTTATTTACTGTTAACCAGAAACAGTTTGCTTATAGCTAGTAGTAGATACAGCTTATTTACTGTTAACCAGAAACAGTTTACTTGTAGCTAGTAGTAGATACAGCTTATTTACTGTTAAACAGAAACAGTTTACTTATAGCTGGTAGTAGATACAACTTATTTACTGTTAACCAGAAACAGTTTACTTGTAGCTGGTAGTAGATACAGTTTATTTACTGTTAACCAGAAACAGTTTACTTATAGCTAGTAGTAGATACAGCTTATTTACTGTTAACCAGAAACAGTTTACTTATAGCTGGTAGTAGATACAGTTTATTTACTGTTAACCAGAAACAGTTTACTTA